ATATCTGCCATAAGTTATGTTTGGTCATCATATCAAAAGGCAATCCCCAAATTTGTATCCAGAACTCTGTCTTGAAGAAATCATGGTCTCTCAGGGAACCGTGTAGGACACATTTCTTCAAAACAAGCAGAGCTCCCATAATCGACCACGAACCATCTCCATAGATTTTACCTCTATCATTTTCATCTTTAAACATAAACATATAGGTATTATTTTCCCAAAGAGTCAATGAGAAACCCTTCATCGTCTTCCACGAGCCTTGGAGAATGCTGGTCACTCCTTGCTTGTTGAGGGTAACTTTTGATAGTGTTTTCCCCACCACACAGACTTTGTTGGACATCTTGAGTGGCTGATGGATTTGTTAAAAGGGAAATGCGTGGAGGATTTTGGGGATGAGACTCTGTCCCTATTTCCTTCGACATTTGGGTGCTTTTTATGAAAATGAAACGAAGTAAAGGCGAATGAAAAAAATTGGCCAGAAAGACCAAAAAGGAAGATACCTAGACTAAAAGGTGAAAAGAGAGCACAAAGGGGAACAAAGAAGGGGTGAATGGGGACTGAGAATCAAGACCAGGTAAGTGATGTAGGTTATTTTAAGGAAAATAAAAAGTGGAAAAATGAAAAAATGCCAAACGAAATGGGTGGGGTAGGGTATATTTGTGAAAAGGAAAGAAGAAAGGGGACCTCCTGGAATCTCATGAGAGAGATCTCAAAAGCGACTAAGTGATTTGAAAGTTGCGAGGCCTAGAAATTTACTCTGCTCACACTATCCAAAAATATGTAACCTAGAGACCACAAACCAAAGGAAATCCAAGGATATGACCATCAGTTCTTCTTACAGGAGGTATGATCTGCATCAGGAACAAACGAAAGGCTCCAAAACAGAGATAAAAGGAAAACCGAGATGACCTCAGAGAAAACCCTAGAGAAGAACCTAGGGAAGATTTGGGAAGAGAAGGATTTATTTTAGATTTGAATTGTGTAAATTTTTAAGTTGGGCTTAAGTCTAAACAATACATAGTAAACAATTTAACAAGGCAATATTTGAGCGAGCGAATGCCAACTTAATTTAATTGAAAATATTTAGTACTTACATAGAGATATTTAGTATTTGTAAACTAAAAATAAAAATAAATTTTATATGGCATAGTGGTTGGGTCAGATTATCGAGTTTTAAGACCCCAACCTGATCTTATTCCACACTCACGACTTCGGGTTGAACTCAAACAAAACCCATATTTCAACCTAAAAATTGTGTAAATTTAGAATTAAACCTGAATGGTTGCATGAATTTTCTTTTAGGGATTGAGCATGTTAAAGAACCATTTATTTTAAAAGTTTAAACTATTAGAGATAGGTGTAACATAAGTTTTTATTTAATACTCCCCTTCACGTGTGGCCCCTCCTTGGGTGGTCTATTCACGTGATTGTTTTCATTTTTTTTTTTTGGGTAGAAGGGAGGTTATGTAAGATTTGAACTCATAATCTCTAGACTCTGATACTATATTAAACAATTATCTACTTCAAAATTTTAAGTTATTAGAGAAGGGTATAACATAAATATTTATCTAATAAGCATCAATTTTAACTTTTTGAATATCTAAACACAGAAATCTAACAGTTCAATCAGATTGAGGAGTTTTATACCTTGGGAAACTCCAAACTAATCCACTCGAATCATGAGTAAATATTTAATGCAACGGTAATACCTTGTCACCATTGATAACATAATATTACCAACCAATAATAAAATCCTAAATGGATAAGGTAACCTCACTTGGGCTTAGAGCATCTCCAATCCTAACTTAAATTTAAACGCAAATTTAAATTTGAGTCTAAATGGTCTAAAAACCTTCTCCAACCTCGGACTCAAACCAATACCAAATCAACAAAAAACATATTCTACACCAAAATTAAAGGAGACTCAAATTCTATACCAAATTTCAATGGTAACTTTTTATCTTATCTGAAGTCAAAAGCCTTATTCGATGACTTATTATCTGCCTTTTTTTTCTTCTCTCTTCTATGCCGTCTCTATCGCCAACTGCCACCGAAGCATTCATATATCCTTTGAAAACCTGTAGGTAAGCTTCTTCATTTTCATCTTCTATCTTCTTGATTTCTTATATTTTTCAAAACTCTAATCTCATTCATCTTTCATTATATATAAACCCTAAACCAACCTATCAAATTTGTTTTTGATTTTTTTGAGTTAAATAGTATCGATAGTGAAATTGTAGGTATCCGATTCTTCCTAAAATTTCAAACCTTCACTATCCACAAATTTAAATTATTCGTTTTTTTATTTCTTCAATTATTCATTTTTGTTAAAAAATAATTCATTTTTTGTGTTCTTTAGACTAGACCAATATCAAAGTAAATATTTTTTTTTATTTATCTGGATTTACAGAAGAAGATAATGGATTAGAACAATCTAAGAATTCTAGGGTGATTTTCTTTTATTATATTTTTTGTTTCTTTCTATTCCCACGTGATGTCGTATCCATAATTAATTTTTTTTTGGATTACCCATTTATGGAAGGATATAAAAGCTTCATTTATTTTATGACATTTCATGATTTGAATGATACAAAAAATAAGTTTTGAGATAATAAAGAAGTTTTTAAAAGATTTGAGTAGATATCTGAGTTTGCCCATTGGAGTACTCTATACTAAATTAAGTTTTTTACTCAAATTTGAGTCTAAATTTGAATGGGTGAAGATGTTCTTGCATGGAAGAAGAGTGGGGAGTTATTTGCTTATATGACAGGTTAGTTATTAATTTTTGTGGGGTCTATTTGTTTATTGTTTTAATAGTATTGATTAATAATACCACATTGTCTTGTCATATAGTATCACAGTTATAATGAATATTTTCTCCCGAATCACACCCCTACCATTTATTGTCCAGCTATGGAGAGCTCATTATCAAGAAATTCCAAATAAATTAGGTAACAAGACCGCCTAATGTTCAACAGTAACCCAATTACATTGTTCTAACGGGCATCATCACCATGCTTGTCCAGGAATTACTTTTTCTTGATCAGTTCATTTGGATTATGACCCTTTTTTTTGTCATTTACCAACCTGGGAGAAGTTAATCAAGTCAGAGACTCTTTATCTCTTTATCTGGTACTGTTTTGGCTTGCTATATTTTTTTTTTCAATTGTTAGGGGTTGTTATCTCTTTATCTGGTACTGTTTTGGCTTGCTACATTTTTTTTCAATTGTGAGAGGTATTCGGATCAATTTATGCATATCCTGACTAATTTTCTTCTTTTTTTGTATATATCGTGTATGCTTTTGCCTGTAATAAAATTCTTACTTTTTCAAATAAATCATTCAATATTACTCATTGTTATGTTTTATAGAAGAAAATAAATGTTACAACCAATGGGTCTTTGGTTCAATGACACTTTTTACTTTGTGAAGGGTTCGTCTTTTTGAGGTCAAGGGTTCAAGCCCCCTTCTCCCTCCCAGAAAAAAAAAGTATGTCAATTCTAAATGTGGAAATTTTATCGTGAAAACTCATCTGCTCTCTCTCATCTTCTTTGATGGTGGTTTAATGGCTGATGGTGGTGGGTTTTTGCTTGGTTTGGTGTTGGGTGGCTGGGTGGTGGTGGATTTCGGGGATAGGGGTGTGTTTCAGTGGTGGTGGTGGGTTTCGGGGTTACAGGGGGTTATGGCCTTGTAGGGGTGAGTTTCGATGGTGATGGGGTTGGGTGGTGATGTATTTTGGGCGTAGGCGATGGTACCATAGGGAAATTTGTGGGTGTGGGTTTCAGTGATGGTGTTGGGGTTGAGCGGTGGTGAATGTTCAGGAGAAGGGTTGAGGGGATGGGTTTTAGTGGTGATGGTGGGTTTTGGGATTACAGGGGGTTGTGTGTTTCGGGTTACACGCAGTGGGAGTTTGGTGGTGGTAGGTGGTTGGGTGTTTGGTGGTGTTAGCTGGTTGGTGGAGGTGTTATGTGGTGAATTTTTGATATAATACCAAACATATATATATTTTTTTTATAATTTTTTAAATATAAATAACTACCAAACATGTTATATAATTTTAATTTTTATTAAAAACAACAAAAATTAGTTTTTTTTAATAAAAAAAACGTAAAAACGAAAACTTTACCAAACACACCTTAAATTTAAACATTTTATCACGTTATCATATATGTATGGTCATATTTTAATGGGAAATGTTATTTGAAACTTATTTAGAGATTAATGATATGACTTCACTGTAACCATTAGATTAATTGTGAGTTTCAATGTTTAATATAACTCACAATCAATCCAATAGTTGTACATCATTAAGTTTCTAAATAAAATCTCCAAATAAGATCATTATAGCATTGCTCCATTTTAATTGTACTTATTTAATTCCATCACCATTGTGTTTTGCCACGTGATTAGATTTTCAAGAAACGATCATCATAAACTAATATGAAATTCTAGATATTTTGGCAGTGTAAACCAATCGAATTAAGTTAGACATCAAAAATTAATGGCACATCCCAATATTAATACTATCTCAACATGATCTGACTAGCCATTCTTAATGTGTATTCCGTATAGTAATTAAATTACAAGAATAGATTACTTGGAGTGAATTCTAACATTTTAAATTGATTTCAACTTTGAAGATTGGTAATGTAACTCGATTAATTAGAAAGTTGACCTGAAAGAATGGTAACTATGTGTTCCTTTTGTTAATTATAACTTTTAATATCATACCTCTTTCAATACCTTAATCGTACTCCAACATCAATACAGAGTAAATTCGGAAAACATTTTAACTTGGCGCATCCCACAAAGAAAACCAAACCACCCTCAATAGAGAGAGAGAGAGCAGATGAGCATGCAATTAAGCATTGTTCCAGAGAAAAATCTTTATGAAAAAGGTTCATATTATTGACTTAATAAATGGAACAACTATACATTGCTTTGCTACCATACAAGAAACCATCACTCATGGTTGAGACTTGAGAGGTACAACACACTAAATCACTGCAGATGTTCATGAGTGATTCGAGAACAGCTATACACAGAGCAAAATGCTTTGAAAGTCACCAACAACAAGAGCAGAATAGCAGCAAACAGTGAGAGAAACTTCCATGACTGAAACACATAAGCCTTCATGAATTTCCCAGCTTTAACCTTCAATTTACTGTCATGATAATTGTTCACATCCTCAATCACTTTATCCAAGAAGGGCACTTTCGTCAATCTCATAGACCTACTCATCCCATTCCACAGGTTGGCCACCTCTTCATCATTCTTCAAACGATTCACAATAATCCCTCTCTGTCTGAGTAATTTAGCATCCTCCGCCGTATCAATAATCCCATTCATCAATTCTGTGTAACGAGTGAGAGCCAACGGTCCAGATGCATTACAGGCTTCATAAGCAACCAAGTTTCTCAAGATCACCTCTGTATTAACATCGATATTAATGGTGGGTAGGTACAACGTAAAAGTTTTACAATAAAACCCTAAATTTAAAATGCCACCATTAGTGGGTGAAAATTTCACACCAGCTTTGGAGAGTTCTGTGACAGAAGGGATTGAAATCTCCTCCACCAATGGAGGTTTTCCAGTGCTATTCAAACTAGTATTGTCATTTACTGGCTTAACGTTTTCTTTATCTAGTGGAAAGCATAAATATTCAGAAGCAAGTTTAAAGACTTTGAATCCAGGAAGGTTAGAAATAATTATCCATGGCAATTTTAATATGACTTGAATAGGTTTTGAAAATACTAATCTCTTGATGAAACGTACCTTTCTTTTTTTTGGGTAAGTAAACAGTATATTGATAACCAATGAGAATATACAATGAAGAAAAACACTTGTCTGCCAAAAACATGCAACACAAGAACCAAAACACAAACAAAAACGGGGGAAAATCTGGGGAGAATGCTGAAGATTTACAGTATTCTCCAAAGATTTAAACCAAAAAACATTAGATGTAATTAGCATAGAGTCATCACCATAAACAAAAAGAGAACTGAGTAACTGCCATGAGTGAGCAATTCTTCGATTCTCTATGTTTTCCTTAAACTTCAACGACATTAGTCTATTCATGACAATATTGATGATAAGTCGCTGGACAGTCACAGGATCCTTCTGCTAGTTTCTGAATATGCTTTGATTCCTCTCATTCCATAACATATATACTGTGGCTGCAAGACAAAGCTTCTTGATCACAGTGGCAAGGCTCTTCCCCTTCCAAATGTGTGCTGATTGAATTATAAAATCCTACCAAGGTAATTGTTGCCCAGACTGGTGACAATTCTCCATAACGTAATTCCAGATCCTTTTAGAGTAGGAGCAATCAAAGAATAAATGAGAGTGTGTTTCAGGAGCTAGCCTACACAAGACACAACTTAAATCCATACTTTGCAAATAGTTATGAATGCGATCCTTGGTTGAAAGTCTACATCTAAAGGCAAGCCAAAGAATGAAGCTCATCTTTGGAATACATTGACTGAACCAAAGAAGCTTATGCCAAGGAACCAAAGGCTGTCTATACCTTAGTTCCTCCAGGGCAGAAGAAGAGGAGAAGTAGCCATTGGGGGTAAGCAACCATTTAACAATATCTTTCATATCAGGTCTAGGAGAGTAAGATGGCATGGATACCTCAATTTGCAGCAAGTCTCTGTTGTTTCTAGCATTAGACCTGGGCCATGACCTAATTTCATAATTAACTTCCAAACCTCATCAAAGCATTGTTTAATGTAATTTGCCTCCCCCAAAATTTTACTTTCTTCATCTTTACCTTCACCTTCCTTTTCTCTCTCTTCCTTGACTTCAGTTATTTCCGATGGTTCTTGCAATTCCGGCACGATTGAACTGTACAAAACGTCTAGCAAGTGAACATGCTCCCAAACTCGAATATGTGGGTGTTCTTCCTCCATCATCTTGAATGGAGAGAGCTCTCGACAGAACCCAATCAACATTGAAACCAACATGTTATCTGCTAATTCTACTGATGAAAATTGAACTTTAACATCTTTCTTGGTAAAAATAATGGAATTTGATTCTCAAGCATCACCATATCTCTGAGAAGGGCGTTGTGTGCAGATTTTGCCCCTGCAATATCAAGCAAATGTGACATTCTTGATGAGACACTGGTTAGTGCCTTTTTGTTACCTTCTTTGATTGCAAAGATTTGAAGAAATTCAAGCAAGAATGAAGCATCAACGGCCATCATCCAAGCCAACGTTTCGCCATTGAAATCTAGGTACATGTGGTAATAAGCACGAGTCTTAGGCCCATACTTTATGAGCTTTTCAACAAGTTGATGAAACCTGAGGTTTTTGGGTTGTTTCTGGGTTCTTTGTGCAGCTGCGAGGTTATATCTCTGCATTTCATAGAACTCGGGACGCCAATAATGGTAAGGGCCTACTGCAACTTCTTGTGGAATGTAACAATTTGGGCCTAATAGCATATTATCAGCATTTGCCCAATAATCTTACTGCAATCAAAGCATAAGCAGTTCAATTAAATACACCAAAAGTAACTAAGTAACAACAGTAGCTTAAGTAGTTCAAATGCCAAAGATATAACTCAAAACAAAAACACATATGTCATCCATAAAGTTAGGGGTATCAAACGTGTAGAGTTAGGTCATTTTGTGTCGAATTGATTTTGAGTTTGTATCAAATATTTTAAAACCCAATCCTAACATATTTAACAATCATGTCGAGATGTGTAAAAATTAATCTGACCTGACCATTAAACGGGTTATCCGAACCCGACCTGTTTGACACATTTAATAAACAGATCATTTTCGGATTAACACACATAACATGATTTGTTTAACTTGATTAGCATATATAACACACCAGTTCATTACTATTAAATACATTATTCGATCATTCATCCAAAATTTCAAATAAGTTTTTTACAAATAACATATCATATCTCATCAATGAAATTAACTAAAATGCATTCAAGTTTCAACTCAAAAATTAAAGTAATAACTATACTACTATACTATCATAATAATGTTAAGAACTATACTGCCAGTTATCATAATAGAAGTAAAAACTAATAAATAATAATGTTAAGACCACATCAGTCATACATAATAGTCAAATTATATTGTCATAAACAGGTTAAACGGTCTACAATGGGTTAGGTCGGGTTTGTGTCCAAATTATGTCAACTCATTTAAAATATGTAGGTTAATCAGATCAAAATCAGGTTAACCTGATTTTGACATTAACTCAACATAATTTTTTTCGTGTTTAATTGTATTGACCCGTTTTAACCTGTTAATTCATTTAATTTCGTGTCCAACCTATTAATTTCGTATTCAGTCCGTATCGTGTCAAAATTGACAGTCCCACATAAAGTAGTCCTCCATCGTGACAAACACAAAATCAAAATAGTGCACCAACGGAAACAAAATCTTAGGCATATGTCCATGCCTACGGCACTTCTCAAAATCACGCTAAAAAAGTCACTGCACACCTCTTTCAAAACCACCACCACCCAGCACGAACAAAACTTACCAAATTGCCGAACAAAACTAATTAAATAAAATACTAAAAAATCCGGAAAGGTGAAAGGTGAAAGCAAGAAGCAAATAAGATATTCCTCAAGATCACAACAGTATATCATTTAAAGCATTCAATTACAAACAAAAAAAAAACTAAACTAAAAAAATTGATATCAAAATCTTGGCATCCACTTGCGGCTAAAGGAAATGAAATATACCATTATCTTCTTAATAGGTTTGAAGCATGTAAAATCTTGTATCTTGATGCTCACAAATTGTCTGCATGTAGGGCATCTATATTTGAATCAATTTAAGCAAACATGCTCGCGCCTTTAAAATCCATATATTTGTTTTCTACATCGAGGGTATATAAAATCCAATTAAGTTCCGTTAAAATCCATATATTTGTTTTCGTATCCAACAATCGTAAGAAATTGCGCACAAAAAATTCATAAAGCTGAAAAATAAAATTAAATCAAAACCTAACACAAATAACTATGAAAAAATGTAAAGAATTTATGGATGAAGACCAAGTAATCCATATGTGTCTACGTGAGATTCTGATAACCTCCAACCTATAATGCCAATCTACTTGATTACCTTGAAGACATCTGACAATAACTGGAAAAAATCCCTTCCTCCTCTCATAATATAAAATGAACACTATCAATACACAACAAAATCAAAATTGCAAGATTTGAAATCAATAACAATAGAACTAGAAAACCCCAGTAGGAAAGTGCTCGTTGTGAGCATTTCTAAAGCTTACCTGAATGTGCTGCTTGCAAATAATTTGCCTCTGAATGTGGTAATTCTTCTTTTCATCCGGAGAATTTTACCATGGACAAATTTGATAAAAGCATAAATCATTTGAAAATTTTTACCCTTTTTCTACTGGGAAAAACGTTGTCCTGAGGCACTAGCCACTCATTATCGTTTCCATATAGACACACTCTTTCCCTTTATTGTTCTATTTGTTTAAAATAACATATCAAAACAATCCCAAGTATCATACAAAATTACTATAAATATTCATCAGGGAGGACCAAACAACCAATACATCTATACGCAATTCCTTAGTCCTTACAACAAAACAAATGCCATTAAAGACAACAACCAACACTGCAAGAATAATGGCCTTTTGTGACAAATTTTTTACAATAGTTGTGATCGTTGTCACAAAAAGCATGTTTGAGACAATTTTTTTGTGACGGTTGTGTTTGCCGCCACAAAAAGCGTGTTTGTATTAATATTTTTTTAATATTTGTTACAATTATTTTGTTGCCATAAATAATGACACAGACTCAAAAGAAATTTTTGTATTTAAGACAGTTGTTTTTCTTGCCGCAAATAATATTTCATAAACTAAAAAGAATTTTTTATATTTATGGTAGCTATTTTTTCCGTCATATATAATATTTCGTAAAATATTAAAATATTATTTTTGATTAAAACAGTTTATTATTTAAAGAAGAAAAACTCTAAAAAAAATTTATATTGTCCACAACTATTTTTCATGTTACAAGTAATATTTTATAAAATTACGTAGTTTTACATCACAAAATAATTTTTAATTCAAAGAAAAAAAAATTAAACTCTACAAAATAAATTTTTTATATAAAATACGACTCGTTAACACGACATAAAATTAGTGATTTTCAATCCTCCTTAAGCCAGTTGTTTAGTAAACAACTGGACCCAACACGATACGATTATAAATGAATCAGGTATTGGTGAAACCAATTAGAAGAAATATATACGATATGACTCATTTATATACCATTTACATAATTGGACAAGCCTTTCAGCGAAATATTGTGTGGCCCTTTGTTGATGTATATTCTAACTTATTTTAATTCTTTATTGTATATATGTATATAAATATCATTTCAGTATAGTAACAATAATTTTATATTTTTTTCAGATATTATTTAGAGAGTAGATGGTTCGGGAAGATGTTAAACTTTTTGTATTAATTTCTTCTACTCATGGATCATTATGTTTTGTAAAAATGCATATTTTACATTTTGTTTAACTCATGAGATTTTTTTTGTGTTAATATGGAAATATTGTTATATTTTTGGAAATGTTGGTCATATTTACTTTGTGTTTATCTATATATTGAATTGAGTGGTTATACGGATACCAATAGGTCTTTGATCTAATGATACTTATTACCTAGAGAAAGTTTTGTCTTCTTGAGGTCAAGGGTTCAAGCCCCCTTCCCCTCTCTCCCTTTCCCTCCCAAAAAATAAAATAGTTGTACGAATGTGCACTTTTAAATTCATGTGATTGAAGTGTATATATGCACAAGGTATATAACATTGGTTGCCAACGGTCCATAATAATAAAAAAAAATTGTTTTTTTTTGTGGCGGCATCATTGTCGTCTTAAATATATTTCATTTAACGTAGAAAAAATTTCATATTTTTTGCGACAGTATATTAACCGCCATAACAAAATCTTCTATTTTTTACAACAGTCATATGTGATATTTGAGGCAGCACTTTTGCAGCCCTGATAAAAACAAAAATGTCGGATTTTTTGTGACAACTTATTTACGATATGGTCTTACTATCATAAATACTATTTGAGCAAACCGTTGTTGCCGTAAAAAATTTTGAGACCACGCCTATTATGACGAGGCAATGTCACCACAAAAAGTATTTTTGAAGTCAAATAGGCCTTTCATGACAGCACTTTACCGCCATAAAATATTTTTTTCTTGTAGTGCATTAAAATAGTCCATCAAATAGAATAATAAAAAGATTAATTAAAAAAGTAAAACAACACAATTTACATTGGAGTTAGTTACAATTCTCAGCTTACTTCGTCACAACATCAAGATCAGGAATGAACAAAGCATTGTGTGTGTGTGTGTTATTTATTAATTTTTTTTCCCGGGGGGGGGGGGGGGGGGGGGGGTGTACACGGTGTGTGTTTCTCAAAAAGGGGTTTGGGTCTGGGCACGCCTGTCTTAGGTTTTCATGAGTGCTCCAGTGACTTGCCCATGTCATATAGAAAGCGGTTCCACCTTCACACACAAATAAGTAGAATCCACCAAGAGTGTGCTACAATCGAACACCCCATCCGAATAATTAGGGACTATGGATCTATTAAGAGCAACAACTCAACCTCCTCACTGTAGCGGCACTGTCATGACACCATAGCGATGGACCTTCACATTAAGCTTCGGTGCCTAAGTGAGATAACAATATGTGACAGTACCCCTCCGAGACTGTTTGTGACTTCGTTTCCCATTTAACCCAATATGTGCAATCACTCATCATAAGGGTTGGGTATCAATCACATAGTCCCTAAAATAGGCAATAGTCAAATTCCCCTCGATGTCTCGCACACTAGTCTCCTTGCTAGTGGCTTAGTCAGAGGATCAACAAGATTCATCTCTGACTTCGCATATTTCATGGACACGGTACCATTCTCACTAAGCTACCTCACAATAGTATGTCGCATCCGAATGTGAAGGCTCTTTCCATTTTATATTTTGTTTTTAGCTAAAGCTATGGTAGCCTGACAATCACAATGCATAATCACAGGTGGAACTGGATTAGTAAATAAAGATACAAGAATATCCACTAAAACATTCCTTGGCCATTGTGCTTCAGAACAAGTCTTCTCTAAAGTTGTTAATTCTGACTCCATAATGGATCTTACAATCATTGTCTGCTTGGATGATTTCCAAGAGACTGCCCCTCCGGCCAGTGTGAACACATAATCACTAGTAGACTTTAACTTATTTGTATCAGAAATTCAGTTAGCATCACAATAACTTTCTAACACAAAAGGATAACCACAAAAAGGATAAACAATAATCAACGGTGCCTCTCAAATATCTCATTGATCTTGATATTGCATTTCAATTAGCCTCACTAGGATTATGAGTATATCTAATTAATCAACCAACAGCAAATGCAATATCGAGA